TAGGGTCTTATTCTGATGTGCAGCGGGCTGCGGTTACATGGGATCAGTTCCGGGAGATGTTCAGCACTTGTTATGTTCCACGAGTTGAGAGAGAGAGGTTGGCTCAGGAGTTCCTGGAGCTAAAGCAGGATATAGAGTTAGTGACGGAGATCACCAGGATGTTCACTGAGAGGGCGATGTTTTGCCAAGAGTTTGCTTCAGAGCAGGCTTAGATGTCCTGATATTTGAGTATGCTCAAGAGGGACATCAGACAGTTTGTGTCCACGCAGAGATGTGATAGCTTGTTAAAGTTGAAGGAGGCCGCTAGGCTGTATGAGTTAGAGATTGAGTAGCAGTTGAGAGAGAAGAGGCAGGCCCCGACGCAGTCGCAGACGGTGCTGAAACGGTCCAAGAACATTGATTCTAGGTTGGGAGACCAGAGCAACCGCACTTTTGAAAAGTGTGGGAAGGGTCACACCGTAGTTTGTAGGTCTGGTGGTGCGTGCCACAAGTGTGGGAGGGAGGGGCATTATGCGAGGGATTGCCATCAGTCAGCCCCAGTTCGGGATATGAGGATTTGTTACCAGTGTCATCAGGTTGGTCACATGAGGGCCAATTGCCCACAGCTTACTGCCAGACCGGTGCAGGCTCCATCACTGGCCACTTTGAGGATTATGGGTAGAGGTCAGGGTAGAGCAGAACCCTCGAGGGCTCAAGGACGTGATTTTCAGCTTACAACAGAGGAGGTCAGGGCAGAGCCGGATACAGTTGTGGGTAAGTTTCCTTCTTGATATCTTGTTGTATTATGATTGTTATGGAGTATTTTATATCTGCTAGTCTCGTTTGCATGATTCATGATATGGTATTCGTTCATCTTTTCATCGGGTTTATCGTATGATCGAGGGTTTTGGTATTGGGAGTCTTATTCGGTTATCATCCTTGGGGATTGATGGTGGGAAATTAGGCTTTTGGGTCTAAATGTCGTGTTTAACATTTGCAATTTGAGGAATACTCAGTTGGGGGTCGAACTCCCTTAGAGTTCGAGATGTACGATGTCAGAAAGTGATTTTGTGGAGGTTGCTCATTTCAGAATCAGATTAAGTATAAGAGAATTTATTGAGTAGGATTGTGTAAGTGATGCCGGTTAGGTCACCAATGTTTGGCAGTCAGTGCTCTCAGTGGGGAGAATTGGACAATTCTGAGGTGGATCAATAGCATGAGAGGTCAATTAGCTGTTTGGGTTTCAGTAGTATTTCAGTCAGCCAAGAGCGTGGGCTGCTATGAGTAGGTTAGATGAGTAGGGCGGGATATAGACCAAGGTTGGGCGTAGGGTTAGGCCGGGATTTGAGTATATAGAATGGAGTTAGAGTTCGGAACCCCAAGAGGGCTAAAACAGTATGTACGGGAGAGATTCCCGGAAAGAATGGTTCAGGGTACGTAAGATAGTCTTGAGCGGTCCGGACAGACTGAAGGCCTGAAGGCGTACTAGTTAGACCGAAGGGTTGGGGAACGGTCCAGATAGGCTGAAGGCCCAAGAGGGTGGTCCAGATATGCTGAGGGTTCCGAGAGTGGTCCAGATAGCCTGAAGGCCTGGTAAGGCGGTCCAATCATTGTGAAGACTCTGTATGTGTTAGGGGATCGCTACGAGGAAAATAAGGAAAAGCGTCAATATGGGATGATAATTGATATGGTGTGGCCCCAAGTATTGATCATGTTAGTGGAAAGCAGTGCGTGGACCCGACAATCATTGCGAGTAGATTCAGGGTATATGGAAGTTTGAGAATAGAAGTTGCTCTACATGGATAACGTAAGGTGAAGTGTAGATCACTGGTATGTTTTGGGAGTTCCTCAAATTGTTTTGAGACCTATCTCGGATTTGAAGTTGCATATAGGGTTGCTACTTCAGATCTAGACTCATGATGGCCTAGAATGTCATAAAGCTTTAGTCCTTAAGTTGTTAATGAAGCCCTTTGTCCTAAAAGTCTAGCCCTAGAGCATTTTGGGCTCATAGCTCCTGGAGTTCACGTAAAATTTGCCACTTTACGTGAGGAATGGCTTCTAGAAGGGTAGATCTACAGATTTGAGCCCTTGCATGGCTTGGAAAGCCTCTGTATGGAATGAGAACTGAAGAGACTCGGCGAGTTCCATGGATGAACTCGGCGAGTTGGATGAAGGTTGACATGGACTCGACGAGTTGGAAGAACAACTCGATGAGTCAGTTGAATATTGCCTTGGACTCGGCGAGTCTAGTCGTGGAGTGCTAGCCTTTTTCTGGTTGAACGGTGAATCGGTGAGCCGAGGGATGACTCCGTGAGTTGAGCAAGAAGGGACTCACAATTGTGGGACTCGGCGAGTCGACGAGGTGACTGGGCGATTAGGTTCACACAGGAAGGTTGACTTTGACTGAGGAGTTTGACTTTGACCAAGAGTTAAGCAGTGGACTTCCAAGGGTACTTTGGTAATTATTGGTATTTATTGATTTCAGTCTTTTGGTATTGATCTGTGGTGGAGTTCGTGTCGGAGGTTGGAGCAGCGTGATCTTATCTCTTTAGTCAGCAGTTGCGAGGTGAGTTATCCTCACTCTATCGACAGGGTCTAAGGCACCAAGGCCGACCCTTTATCGGATGGAAATCCGGGTAATAGTTATGTTATTGATTTTCTATATATGTTTGCATCCTGGTAGTTAGGATGGTATATGTTAGAGACCTGGTTAAGTTCGAAATCCTGGTATATAGGATGATGATATGTTAGTGACCGGTTAGGTCGGTATCCTGGTTAGAGTGTGCTATATATGTGATCTGCTAGATCAGTTGGTTAGTGAGGAATTGCTATATGATTATATGTTTATGTACACATGGTTGACTGGGGTTAGGTTGAGGCGGGTCATGCTTTGTGTTGTAGGCCAACATATCCAAGGCTGTCCAGATATCCCGAAGGCCCAGCGAGCGTTCCGGATAGGGTGTAGCCCCCACGAGGGTGCACCAGACGTACCGAGGCTCAGAGAGTGGACCAAGCCGACTGAAGGCTCGGTGCGGGCGGACCAGTCAAATTGCTTGGAAATTTTGGATGGTACATACAGTTTTGGTTTTGAAACTGCAAGCTCAAAATGCAAGTAAATTGACAGTAAAAAAAATGGGAGTGTTATTCAAAAACTAGCATATTAATATGAAATAAAGAGAATTTAACACAGAGTACCAAAAAAAGATTAGCATATAAACAAATTTAATTCTCATTGTATATATAGGTAATATATTCATTGTCCATTTTTGTATCAAGCAAATCAAACATTACTAGGCATTTCAACGATCTTTCTATTCTTTTGCACGAAGTGGTGATTGTCAAATTTCATGCCATGATCATAACAGAATGATTTGATTAATTCTCTTTAATTAACCAAAGCCCTTCTATCCAACTGTATTAGGTATTATATTCATTTCTTGAGGTTGCGGTTACAATTCTTGTTTGAGACAGGTGATTTAAGAGTAGTTTAAATTAGATTAGATTAGTTGTTCAAAAAAAAACTTTAACTAGTATTGGACATAAGCTTGAAAGTGGAGAAATCTTGCAAATGTGTCAGATTTATTGCATAAGCGATACACCCACAAGAAATAAGAGTAATGATCTAAAAACAGGATATAATAATTGATGCCAGTTACATTGATAACAGATAATAAGGGAGGTACAAAGATTAGGCTATACAATACAAAACATAGAAGAAACATGTGTATTTAAACAATCAAAATTAAGCAAAATGAATGCGTTTTTCAAGATGACAAGCATGGCAAGACAAACTAACATCGCTTTTATTACATGAGATAAAACAACTAATTAAAAAAGAATCAAGTACATGAGGACATGCCAATCATTGATTCCATATAGACCTGGTGGTGGAAAAGAGAGAAACATGAGATCGAGATCGAGTGGACAAATATAAGTCACATGAACTGTCATATCGAATGAGGATCTCGCGGGTACAAAAATCCATCAGCGAAAAAAAAATCATCAAATTCATTAGTAACTTTATTATCTTTGGGTTTTTCCAACATGGGTGATGGGCATGTATAAACCATTGCCAACAACGACGAACTAAATGGTCTTTTAGAGCTAATAGAAAAGAGTATACCTATGTTCGAGGAAAGATCAGATTTGACGCCAATAATATTTGTATACAATCCAACGCCAGTTGTGAGTGTCATTGTGTAGAAAACATTAACAACATTGTATTTCATGATCAGATCTCGTTAATTAGGGGAAACCAGTGCTAAGGCTGAGCAATAGAAACATCATAAGCTTAAGTATGAAACATCACTTTATATATTGGTCCTTGGGCTTCCTTAATGTATGGGCATATCTTCTTATTGTTGCAATGGTTAGGGATGATTCTCAATCTTTTAATAAGTCGATCTTTTAGTTAAGCATGGAGTAGCAGTAGGGAGTTGAACGGGCGAATTTCACAATAAGCTTAGAAGAGGGAAGTCATAGTGAAGCGAAGTGGCTAAGTAGTGGAGTATGGGATATAAAAAAAAGTGAAAAACTAAAAATAGGTGTTAACTCATGCGGCTAGTTAGTGGCTTCCCGATTACAAAATGACTAAATCCAAAGTTTTCAATTACATTTCGTTTTTATTTTGGGCATACCAATATCGGTGACTAAATTACGCTTATTTAGGGTGCTTTGCGGAAGATTCTACTAAAATGGGGGGCTGACGTGTACATTTGAATGACATGGAGCTGCGGACGAAAGTCCTAATTTCAAAGGGGTAGTTTATGTAATTCTTGCTACATAAGAAATCAAATTCGAATTCGTTAATCTTGATAAACCTTAGCTGCGATAACCTATCTAAACTTGTGGAAATCGTTAGTATTATATATGGAAACAGAGCTGTGGTGGGATAATTTGAATCCTACTACAATACTAAATAATGCAGCACCTGTGGTTGATGCACATATATACATATATACATCCGATAGTCGAAACTCCCTCGTGAAGAATATCCGGAAAACCTGCAACCGTTGCAATTAATGGATTCTTCAAGAAGAGGCAACAATGGCGGACAACGTCCAAGTGGCAATCGGGAGTGGAACCAGCATACAAGTTTTAACAACATGCAGCGTCAGAGGGGCTTTCGTAGGGGTTTTGTGAATCGTGGAACCTCTCCACTTGTTTCAAATTCTTTCATGTCTCCACAAATGCATGTGCCAGTTCCCCCTTTTGGCAACAATTTCATGTATCCTGGTAAGCTTTTATTATTCAACTCTACATGTGGAATTAAACATGTTATGAATTTCTATACAAACTGGTTTTGATAAACGGGTTACATTTTCGAACCCCATCTCAACTTATTTATCACACGGGCTAACATTAGGTTGATGTATTTTTACAACCCTAACTTGTTAAATAAATAATTCATTTATATTTCATAATATGAAAAATACATCTAGTTAAATTAGTTAATAGTTGTTCAAAGTTAGAAAAAAGAAATCCAACTGCAAATACAAATTAGGTTTATGTATTTAATTTTTACAACCCTTTTTCTGTTTTGTTTGTATAATGCATTTTATGTACATGCAGATTTGGCCTCTTATGTTCAAGGTTCAACTCAATCTGCATCGCTGATGACACCGATGCAGTCTCCAGTGTCCTTACCTGTTCAAGATCAAGATTTGCATGAAAAGATTGTGAAACAAATTGATTACTATTACAGGTTCTTTATAATCTCTCATATCTAAAACTTTTGTGGTGGTTTATAATTAGTTCAAAACAATTAACATCTTATTTCCCTTTGTTGCAGTGATGAGAATTTGGTTAAAGATTTATACTTGCGACAAAAGATGGACGAACAAGGCTGGGTTCATGTCACTTTAATAGCAAGCTTCAAGAAAGTAAGTATTATATAGAAGATGAATAAATTGATGCATACACTTTTTTTGAAGCTTATGAGATTCAAACTTGGGTCAACTCCATTTTAAAGTGTTTCATATAAAGTGATCACCATCATGCCACATTGATATTGGTCCCTTCACACACTCTCTTTTTTATGCTGCATTTGATATCAATTAATATCCTTGTTTTATTGCAGGTTTTGTGTTTAACTGACAATGTTAAGCTAATTCTTGATGTAATGCGGGCATCAAGAGCTGTGGAAGTGCTGGTATGTATTAATCTTTTTCAAGTCGATCAAACATGTGCTAATTCATAAAAATATTAAATTCTATATAACTATGTTATGGGACTTGATACTAAAATTCATTTTGTAGGGTGAGAAGATGAGGAAGCGAAATGATTGGATGAGATGGATTATCTCAAGTTCCATTAATGTTGAAAGCTTTCATGGTAATTTGGTATCGAATCGCAACATGGTGGAGGCGTCCATGGTTTTCAGGGGGCAACCATGGCTCAAATGAAGCTTGGGTACAAAAGAGAATAATGATGGAACAGATGGTTTATAAGTAAAAGAATACGTTTTCCTTCCATTTTTTTTAAACGAGAAGATCTCAATGATGAATTATGTAGGGGATATCATAGATTTCTATTGAATATTGAAATTATGTTTTGAGATGTTCATTTAACACATAAAAACATAATAATAATAATAATAATAATAATAATAATAATAAACAGAGAAAAAGGCGAAAAGAAGAAAAAAAATGAATAAGACTTGAAACATAGAAAAACATAGATTTAGTTTTTAACTTTGGAGACTGGTTTCTTGGATGTTATGATTTTTTTGGACCTATGAAAAATTATTAGATACAATTTTGTTTCTTTTTTGTTTTAGATGTTGGTTGGTGGTTTTCTAAAGGGTTGTTTGCTTTTAATTTAATTATATAATTATATAAAATGATGGTTCCAATTGAACAATTCTTGGCTGTTTACCGACTGTTAACCAATAAATATTGGATTGGTGGCGATCAGCTCTTAAGCCGATATCCCACTGGTCATAGATGGATTTCACCCCGATTCATGTTTTCCTTCTCCATTTCTTCCCTATTTTTTCTCTTTAGATCCTAAATTTGTCTTTCACACATCTAATTTCCTTCCCAATCATGTTCGTATCGTCTTTCCGGTCTCACCCTTGCAATTTCAAACCACCATCGATTTGTCCACTTTAGTTCGACAGGGAAGTAAAGTTTGACGTCGTTTGTTGGCGGTGGCGGTGGTTGGAGGCATTGTGGTCTTCAGGTTATTTTGTTCTTATTCTCTTTCTTTCTCCCTCTCTACTCTGATTCTATAAAATTGGTTCGCTTCTTCAAAAAGAATGTTCATTGGGTGTTTGTTGATTTCGCATAGCATTTTGTATTGATAATTTGTTGTTAACCTTGATGCGGGTTTTGGGGTTCATAACGATTCATCTCAACGAAATCTTTTTCGTTGCACCGCCACCGTTCGATGGACATATGGGAGTACAAGATGTGATGAGGTGAATCCACCAGATCAGGTTTCCTCAACATCAATCATTTTGTAAGTTTTACCATTGAATCTGTGTTTTTTCTGCTAAACTGTTGTTGATAGTCCACGCCACCATCGGCCGACCAAGCGTGAAAACGTAAAACTTTCCCCTCCTTACTTGATTGCCCCAATATAAGAGTAATTCATAATTTCCTTATGAACTTCAGGGAAGCGTTTTGAAAGACTCATCATAGCTTCAAGTGTAATATTATTCGCCATCAATTCCTCTTCTGCTTCTGCATCCTGTGTTGGTTGCCCCATTTCCATTCCTCCTGATCTGGGTTTCAACTCTTTCTTGCCTCCAACCCGACCCTACCTAAATATTATTCCTTATATATTTATGGAAAAAGATAAGACATGTAATAATAAGATATTATATGTGTTATACATAAAATATAGAAGGTTTAATAGGATCTATGTCTAAGTGTTTAACACAAATTCTGAAAAATCGAAAGGTTGGAGAAGGCAGAAAAAGTCCCATACAGAGGCATGCATGCGGTTGTATTTTTTTCATCAATTGTTCTATCTTCCTGAAGTGTCCAATTCATATTCCTGTAGATCAGTTTAATGGTGGGTACGAGTGTATTTGTTTGATGGGAATTAAAGAACAGGTATTTCTTTCTTCATCTTACTTATCACTTACTTCATATTGTACAAGGTTTTAGGGTTTGTTTGTTTGTTTTTTTAATGAATTCTTTAGATTACATACCATTGTAAAAAAAATATTTGAAAATTTTCAACCTAAATGTGGTGAGTTATATGGCAGGATCAACGGTTGGTGATGGACACCATTTTTTTGGTGATGGAGAGAGCTCTTATGGTGGATTCTATGAAGGTTTGAATGCTTTTTAAATTTTTTTTCTTTTAAATTTGATTGATTTTACTTCTTATTTTCATTTGTTTTTTAAAGGATATAGAGGGAAAGAATCAAAACTAAACTAATTGATTTGGATAGAGAAATGAAAGGTGTTAAATGAACTTAATCCCATTAATATACAGAACCATATGAACATTCGAATGAATTCAATTATCCTGAAGGTTATGCTACTTAAAAGGGTGAACAAATTTGTCTGTTTCAATGAATTTTTTTTCAATTTTAGTCATTCTGGATTTAATTTCCCTTCGTTTGAAGGAAATTGAGGAAGTAGTGTTGGCATATCGCCATCTCTTCAAACTCTAATAGTTTAAACTCTTTGATGACATATCATAAAATGGAATCCATCTTTTGCAGGATTTTCTTTCTAACAAGACTATTAAAGTAAAGGAGTAAACTGAATCCCTAACTTTTTACTATTTTACCTTTCTATATGCACGCGTATCTATTATCCCCTCTCCAATATTTGCAGTACCAACCATTTTATCCCAACAAAACCCCAGGTGCAAATGGAAGGTAAATTGGTGATTGTGTACAAAATTGAATGCTCAAGAGGGGTTGATTTGAAACTTTATAATCAAATTATTATGATTCTTTCTTTTTTCTTATAAGCATAGGGGTAACAGATGCAAGCCCAATGAGAAACACTACTACTTTTGAATGGATGTCATATAGATCTCCAATTTACTGTAGTTCTCCAATAGTTATTCCTGCATGTGGAATTATGAATAATCAATACAAAAAAAAATGAAATAAAAAAAAATAGAAGAAAAGGGACAAAGTGATTTTATACATATAATACAATCAAACAAAGGAATTGGATAACTAATTATGTCAGACGGTTAAATTACCGTTTATTTATTTTATTGCTCTGACTTCTACAGGGTTTTCTTATTCATGTCTAAAGGCAGCATGTCATGCTTGATGAAAAAGAAGGTAACAGAGTGAATGCATCTTCTTTCTTGAATCTTTTTTTGGTTTTAATTTTTAATAAAACTGGTCTCATCTTATGAAAGAAATAAGAAGGAACTATGTTTTAGTTTAGAATATAGTTAAGATATAGATTCATACATCATTTGTGCTTCACAAAGTATATTACATCTTGAGCCAATAACCAATGGATAACATTAGTAAATAGTAACATTGATTATATGTAAAAAAAAACTAAATTGTTGTTTATAATACACAAACAAATAAAATTAGTTCGATATTTATTGCAGACTGTTATGGACAACGAGTTGGAAAACTTGAAAGAAGTTGTAATCAAGGTTGATGATAGAGGAACCTTTTAGAGTCAACGAGCAACAAGTGAAAATTTACCTAATGTATCTTTGTGGGATTTGCAATTCTTCATATTCCCTCTATCACATTGATTTCCACTTAGTTCTTGTGACATTCCCATTTTCACGGCCAGAAAAGACCGATTTTGTTTATGCTTTATAAAAATTAGAGTTCTTTTAATAAAAATGTTGCGGAATTTGTTCCCAGAAAAACACGATGAATACGTTATTAAAATTTTTTCGAAGAAACGTATTTTATTCATTTTAAAACGTTTGGGATGTCATCGTTAATACAGAAACTTACATTTATTTACACCAGTGATCTACATCTCTTTAAATCTCTCAGTGTAATATGACTTCATGTCAACACCTATGATATAAGTAACTGAGTGGGTCAGGTTGGGAAACCTGGTGAGTACATAGGATTTTCAACCCACCATAATATAATTATTATGTTTAAACAATCAAACAATCAACCCAATTACCCATCCCCATTATCTTCTTTACTCTTAAGGATTTATCCTAAGAGTCATCTATCTTGCATTCGTTTATTCCAAAGTCCCTTACTTCCAGGGTTATAGGACTAGCACTAAATCCATAGCTGCCAATGTTCGTTCAGAAAGCACCAATTCCATAGCTGCTATAGTTTATTCATCGGGTACTACATGCATAGCTACCAGTGTTTATCTATTAGGTACTAAGTCCATAGCTACCAATTCCTAACAGGTACTAAGTCCATAGATACCAGTTCCCAACAGGTACTAAGTCCATAGCTACCAGTGTTTGTCCAATAGGCACTAAGTCCATAACTGCCGATGTTTATTAGGCACTAAGTCTATAGCTACCAATGTTTACTCACATCATCTTTTATCTCTCATCATTCATCTACCCATGTCATACCCAACATATTCGTATAAATAAAATACGTATACAGTTTAAATCATTTAAAACATGTATAAAACGTTCATACAGCATAGACAACAAGTATTCAGATAATATGCACACATAACGCGTAGTTTATATAAAATACTTCATATCTATGTGTAAGATGAAAGGGACTATGCACTCACTTGAAAGGTGGTGACTTAGCACTCGGACAGGGCTTCGATACTCTCAAAACAATTTCCTTGATAAAACCTAGTATCAACACCACTAGGGTTTAGTCTAACGATAACCACGACTAATTAATAATCTAACTATTATTATTATTATTATTATTATATAAGCGTTAAATAACACTCAATATAACTCATAATAATAGCCCAAATAATTATTTTAAAGTCCTAATAACATTACTATATCAAAATATAAGTTACCCTAAAGATAGGGTAGGCGTAGCTCACTTACAGCGGGTTTTCTTGAAAATTGGGCTTTGCTGGAGAAGCGTTTCTGAGCCGAAAGACACTTTTTCTCAGGACTCCGGGAGCCTCGGGGCTTCCTTCGGTTGCTAAGGGTTTACCTAGGGTTTAGGGGGGGGGGGGGGGCTAGAAACAGAGTCTAGAGAGAGAAAGAATAGTTTGGGAAGGTGTGAAGAATGAGGGAACCTGGCACCTCTATTTATAGGCTAAATTCCTGATGGACTCGCTGAGTAGGAGGACCTACTCGCCGAGTTGGGGCATGTGGCAGCCTTCTGGTGGTGCCACGTGTCCAATTATGGTGGTGCCACGTCACCCCCTATCGCGTATCAGCGTTCAAATTTATAAAAATCATAACTCTCGCATACGAGCTCCGTTTTTGACGTTCTTTTTTTCAACGTGTATTTAAAATCAAGGTCTACAACTTTCATTTAGACTTCGTCGGCTAATTCTCAACCAATCTCAAATTTAACAGGAGGCGTTTAGACTGTTAAATGACCGCAAAGAATTCGTAACTCCTTCATAAGGACTCTGTTTTCGTCTATATTTTTAACGTTGAGTTCCTATTAATCAGATATTCAACTCTCATTTAGGTCGCGTAAGCCAAAAACCACTCGAACTAAAATTCAAGTTTCGGGTCGTGCACTGCTAAGCCGAATCTTAGAAAAATCATAACTTCCTCATACGAAGTCAGATTTGGGCGTTCTTTTTTTGTATGTTCTTGTTTTAACATATACTACAACTTTAGTTTAGATTTCTAAGGCTAAAAGTCGATCCATCGTAAATTTACTATTTACACTTCTCGGTGCCGTGCCGGTTTTGCCGTAAAACTTCGACAGTTCATAACTTCTTCGTTATAACTCGGATTTCGCCATTCTTTATATGTACGGAAACCTTGAGACATATTCTACAACTTGGTTAAGATTAATTATTCTAAATAATCTTTTGTAGAAAAGTCATTTTCGACACTTATTGCCTTAAAATTGACTAGCCCGGATCCGCGTGCATTACAATTATCTCCCCCTTTGGATGATTACGTCCTGGAATCATCAACGAAACAGGGCTTACATGATGACTCCATTCGTTATATATTCATCCTAAGTCATAACTTCAATGTTTCTTCGAACGAGTATCCAACTCTTGGACTCCTTGACTGTAGGCGGTGCTCGATCTTGTACTTGCTCCATATCTCACGTTAGACTCCAGATTATGATCTTCAAGTCACAATCTTGATCCTTACTGGATACGAACTTAAGATAAGTTCTTTTATTACTACAATGGACCGATGTGTCATATTCTAATGACCTCTCATCGTATGTGGCAACTCTCCGACTCAGGTCTCTTAGAGTCAAGTTCTAGAATAGTCTATACCTTCTTTCATGTTCTAGTCACATCTTAAAAGGTAGCATCTCTAGCAACCATCGCGATACTTCTACTAAGCGCTTTGATTAATTCTTCTAGCTTAAGTCGGTGCTACATCGAACTTGGTTCTCTGAATCATGTAACATTCTCATTGTAGTCGGACTCAATTCGATATGAACACTCGGGTCGGAATATGAATAATCTTTTTAGTCATTACCGAAATGATGGTAACGACATACTTTAATAAAACGGTATCAATTACTAGCTTCTTTGTAACCTTGTGACTTTCCCTGATCCAAGCGTGAGTCCTGTGCTTCAGGTAGTATATGCATCTACTACATTTCACACCTACTCATACTCGTCCCAAGTATTGTCTCGCAGTTTTCCAAGTCACCATTCAAGAAAATCACATAACCATTTAACACACCAGATAACAAAACGAAGATTTGATTATTTCTTGAAACTATTACATAGGTGTTCAAGTTCACCCTGGACTATGCCTCTAATGGGCTACATCGTACGATACTATGGCTACTTCATATCTTGATCTTTGGGTATGAACTCCTCATCCTTGATTCCTCGCATGGTTTTCTACTTCATCAAGGATCATGTGAAATGTCCTTGGCCTCAGTGGCGTTTATGGTCTAGCTGCTTTATTTTTCCTTGGGCAGTCTCTAGACATGTACCCCTTGCCTCCACATCCGTAGCATACTTTATCATTATGTGTGCAGTTATTGGAATAGTGACCAATCCTTCCACACTTGTAACAAGTCACTTCTTCATTGCACTTCCCACAATGCTTCTTCTTGCATTTATCACACCATCTCGCTTCACCTCCATCTCCTCCTCCAAGCTTTGAGAATTTACTTTCCTTGTTGGACCTTGAAGATCCTTTAAACTTCCTCTTCTCTCCTGCCTTATCTTTTTCTAGACCCTTTTCTCTTATCTGGGCCTCTACATTCTTAGCTTCCCTAACAGCTGTTTTCAAGGTAGTTTCCATTTTGACCATTGGGCCAAAGTCAGTGGGTAATACATTGGCGAACCTATTAATCTTGGAGAGTTCAGTAGGCACCAAGTAGGGGAATAGCTTCATCCTCTCGGTGAATGCGATGGCATACTCATCAACACTCATCTTCTCTTTCTTCAGGTTCTGAAACTCATTGTTTAGGTCTATCAGATCTATCTCCGAGCATACCTACATTTTCAACTATTCTAAAAACTCTTCCCATGACATCCTTAAGCCTTCTCCTCATGGCATCATATCTGCCAATAGCTTCCACTAGCTCAAGACTCCAGTTTTTAGTTGTCTTACAGCAAAGACGGTCTTCTGTTTCTCGCTACAGTCGTAGCTCTCAAACACCATCTCCATCTTGGAGATCCAATCCAAAATATCAACAGGCTTTAGGCTTCCTGAGAGACTTGGTGGTTTCGCACCCAAGAAATTCTTGTACATTCGCCCATCCTTGTCGTTTCTCCTCTCCGGGCCATCCCTTTGTTCACCTCGAGTCGCCACTTGACTCACTTAGCGGCTGTAGTTCCCTTCCTCCGATTGCTCGGGAATCAGCTCAGGTAGCTCAATCGGCATAGTAGGTTCGTCCCTATTCAACATCCGCCTCATTTCTTCCCTTTGTTCAGCCAACATAGTCCGAATCATGGCTTGTACTCCAGCCATGGTGATTGGCTCGGGTACATCTTCTACTACAACAGGTATTTGCTGAACCACTGGGGGTTGGTTCCTATTCTCATTTGCATTCACGTTTCCGCTACGGGTCCTTGCCATCTTGATCTATACACCGAATAGGGTGAATCTAGACCTTTACTTAGGATTGACGTTTAAATCATCCTTATCACTCCGAAACGTTTACATGCTAGTTCTAATATCGTATTCGTACGTTTAGAATCCTAAACACATAAGGTTTCCAGATCCGGTCAGCAACAGACCATATATCCGATCAAACTATAGCATAACAAATTATTTAGCACATAAAAGCAATTTAGGCATCATTCCTAAATTAAGCTAGTGCTTACACCTCACAATTATCGCTTAGCATTCTAAGTTTAAGTCTAGAAATAAATCCATATTCCTAGTTCGCTTATACTAGTGCTCTGATACCAACTGTGATATCCCCATTTTCACGGCCACAAAGACCGATTTTTTTTTTGTTTATGCTTTATAAAAATCAGAGTTCTTCTTTTAATAAAAATGTTGCGGAATTTGTTCCCAGAAAAACACGATAAATACGTTATTAAAACATTTTCGAAGAAACATATTTTATTCATTTTAAAACGTTTGCGATGTCATTGTTAATACAGAAACATAAGCATAAACAGAAACTTACATTTATTTACACTAGTGATCTACATCTCTTTAAATCTCTCAGTGTAATGTGACTTCATGTCAACACCTGTGATATAAATAACTGAGTGGGTTAGGTGGGGAAACCTGCTGAGTACATAGGATTTTCAACCCACAATAATATAATTATTATGTTTAAACAATCAAACAATCAATCCAATTACCCATCCCCATTACCTATCCTGCATTCGTTTATTCCGAAGTCCCTTACCTCCAAGG